GCAGGAAAAAAATTATCCAGCTTCACAGTTCACGCATTTTTCTTTTCCTGAGCAAGTGGGTATATATACATGAGTGATGAGGACAAGTTTTTGCTGAACATTTTTTCACTCCATTTTCATTTTTTTTCCCACGGACTCAGATTGTTTCAAATTGTAAATGCATATGATATTGATCAATCCAGAACACGAGAAATAAAAAAGTGTCATTATTACTGTCATTATTCAACATTGCTTTGTGAAGCGTTCGACAGGTGTCGCGTGAATCGCTGACAAGACCAGAAATGGCGTAATTATATTTGCATTATCTGAAGCAGTGTTCCGCAACCTTTTTGGGCCTTTGGACCCGCGTATTTCCATAGAAAAATTTTTAAAATCAGCAAATTTTCGAAAAAATTTTTGCTGACCAGCGAAGTTTCTTAAATTTTTGCAGACTCGAAAAAGTTTTGTTTGAAAGACTTCATGGCAGGTATTTGAAAATGCTGTGCTGTTTGCAAAAATTAAGTCAAGAGCCAAAGAAACAGCTATGATATGTCTTGAAGAATATTTAAAGGTGGGCTTGAAGAAAGATTTTTTTCAGAAGAAAAAATTAAATAATTTATTTCTGCAGGTGAAAATTTATCTGAAGTGTTTTAAAGGAAGGAAGGTCAACTTTTTTTTTCATCAGATAATTTCTACTGCCAATGTCTTTCCAAAATTTCAGATGAAGAATACAGCTACAGTACTAGAAAACATTGCTACTTTTGATTAATTTATCATGCTTAAAAAAATTTCTGGCAAACCAGCAAAAAACTTTTGCAGACCAGCACCAGTCCACAGACCATCGGTTGGGAGCACTGAAAAAAAGAATTTGGAATTAACTTAGCCTGGTATAATTCAACTTTATGCATAATGTCCTCGCACAAAAAAATGGAAATTTCAGGTGACATCTTTGGGACCTAATTCCGGAGGATAACGTTTAAAAAAGTCACATTCCGAAGCGTGCTGCAAGCTTGAAACCTATTTTTAAGGATTTAGCGTTTCTTCTTGGAGCTTCGAAAATATTATTTGAATATGGAAATATTCCGGGGAAATGCTTTTTTTGCGAGTCAGAAAACCTTTATATGTATTTTTTTT